TTCGCTGGAGATGCGGTTTGACTGTTGAGGTCCGGCCCCCCCTCCCCTTCCGCGGTCAGTAGTCACACACATTCCCCCACCCCTACCACCACCACCGCCGCCCCTCCCTCACCCTGCTGGGTGGCGTCACCCATCGGTTCGTACAGCGGCGGAGCCAGAACAAAGGCAGCTACAGTGACAGGCGGCAGCGAGGGTCACCAGCTGAAGCTGAGGAGGCGCCCTCCATCCAAACGCCCGAAACTGCACCATGCTTGTGGTCTTGCATACAGAGAAGAGACGAAGAAAGAGGAGATGTAGCGTTACTGTATGTGCAGAGATTTCATTTCAGTGGGTATAGAGGGGTTTATTTTGTTGTTGTTTTCTTCTCTACTATGGGTAATATGTAGAGCATGTTGTGTAGCTAAGTCGGGCGTGCTGACCACGGTCACACGGCTCTCAGCGTGTGTGTATGTGTCTGTGTGTCCATGTCTGTGTGTGTGTGTGCGTTGAGCATGTGAGTGTGTATGGGAGGGTTTTAATTGAAGATGAACCTTACTAGCAGGAATGGAGACATCGTCACCACCACCTTCATCAGAGACTGGTGTAATTTATATATAAGAGAGAACCTTTTGTACACGGACTTATCGGTTTCCATTTAAGAAGACGTTTTATGATATATTTTATAAGTTACTTTAAATCCAATGGAAGCCGATGTAAAGCGGGGAGATGTCTGCATTCAACCAGAATGTTTTCGCACTGGTAAAAGTAGATTTTGTAAACCACCAGAAATAAAAGCTCTTATACGTAAGGAATAAAAATGATTAAAACCACCAGCCGAGTTTTGATTACGTCTTTTGAATGTTTAAAGATCCTGAAGCTTGGAGAAGGTTGGATGATTTGGTGAGTTTTGAGGCAGGAAGATGGTAAAACTTCAGCACTTATCCCACTTTTTTTTTTTTTTATGTTTTGTTGTTGTTCTTACTTGTGTATAAAAACTCTGGTTGATTGCAGGCCCTGTGCACTGCTTTTCCACAAGTTTTTTTTTTGGTTTCTGGAAGCTACACACTTGCTGCTAAATACTACAAAGGACTCAAAAGGAGGAGAGCACACCTGTTTTCCTTGTCTTGTTTTGTTTTCTTTTAAATAAAAATGCGTTAACAACATTTGCAGTATTTATTGGACGTCTCCTAACGTAGAGGTTACGTGTTGGGCACCAGTTTGTTTCCGGTTAAGTTCTTGTCGTCGTCCTCTTCTTAGCGTTAGTTTCTGGTGTCTCCAAAAAGGTTTTTGTTCTCCCTCTGGGCATTTAAATACCTGTAATATAACTGTAACATATTTCCACAAAAAAGAAAGAAAATCAGAAACTTACAAAGTGTTGTGTGGTTATTTGTTTCTACCCTTTATCACTGGGATTAAGCATGTTGAAAGTATTTATTGATCTGTCGGCACTGCTGAAGTTAGGCAGTAGAGGGCAGTGTTGGACCTAATGCTGCAGTAATTATTTGGCACCAGCAACATGCCTTGGCTAGAAAGCAGTTTTGAGCCACTTTGACTGGACTACAGATGTAACTGTAAATGCCTTTGTAGTAATAAACCTTTATGACGTAAAGGTTAAAACAGCAAACACATTTTATAAATTTAGACCCACAGGAATGATTTTGATTCAATGAAACTTGGCTTTAATTGTGACTGTGGGAACAATCCAGTTCTCTGAAACGTGGCAATGCTCTCTTCACGTAATTTTATATCAGCAATGTTTAGGTTACCAGTGGTTTATTCTGCTACGTGATTTGTAGAGAAGTATCAATTCTAAGTAAGATAAGATCAACTTGTCCAAAGGTTTGGATATTCTTTTGTTACAACAGTCAAAAATCAGCTTGAACACAACAAATGTAGAACAAATAGCTTAATGAGTAGAATGGTATGTACGTAAAAGAATATGAGAGAACAACTACGTTTATTTTGT